TTACACAAGAATTCATAGGCTACAACAATCCCTAACAAGATGAATCTTGTTCTCTACTTCCATGGAGAACCCTAAAGCTTACAAAATGGAAGATGGAAGAAGGAGACCCAATGGAAGAGAAGGAGATGTTCCCACAAGCTCCTCATGGCCTCCATGAGCTCCATCAGTGAAATCGTGCCTCTAAAGAACCAAAGACCTGAAGCTCTTCGTGTTTCTGAGTTAAATAGAGCAAATCTGCTATATCAGCAAAAATTGCGCTCAAGCGCCCCTAAAGAGTGGGGGCCCGGGCGCGCGTCAGTCAAACTCAGCAACCGGTGCACTGGCGCTCAAGCGCCCATGGAAAAAGGGGGCTCGAGCCTGACTCTACTGCACTGCTTCTTTTTCTGGTTTTTTCTGCAGATTTGCTTGCTTTTGTGGTTGATTCTGTTCTCTATATTGTTGGATATTCTTCCAAGCATAGTTTTAGCTACAAAATAATGGGATTAGTGATGTAGTTACATCAATGTAGCCTAAAACACATTTATTTAGAAAACAAGACAAAAGACGAGGATTAAGCAAGTTACAAGCTAGACAGGAGTTAATTTTGCTACTAAAATGATGCTTAGATAATGATAAGAATTAACATTATCAAATGCGTTGACGTGTATGGAATCTACCACCTGTTAGTCATAGGCTTGGGAAAACTCTTGTTCTTGCAACACCATACCTGTGCTTAGGTGAGTGATGATTTCACATTCCACAAATATAACAGAAACCCCTTCTTCTAGAAGGAGGGGTTAGCAAGACAATAGAGATTGTCATTTTTATTGATTTCTCTTATTGTGATAAGGTCTTGTTTCTTTTGTGGTTAAGTTGTTCTGCACAAGATTTTTTCAAGAACATAAAGCTTCCTTGCAGCTTGACACTTCCTTCATTTGGTGTTTCAATAAAGATGCATGTGATCAGGTTTGATAGAGAAATTTTCTTGTGCCTGTGTTTCAATTGCTGCTTGTAGCCTAGGTTGTCCATGATTTTGGAAACTACTTGATCAACATCTCCAACATGAACTCATCCAAGAAGAAAACATTACATTTTCCTTCCAGAACGTTACAGAAAGATCCCAGGCTTATTTGAAAACATTAATGATCAATTTCTCACTCATAACAAGGCATCACAAGTATCCCAACCGTGAAATTCTATCTATTGACTCACCTATGTGACAGATGTGCGTGCAAATGAGAGATATTTCAACTCAACTAAAAACACTTAAGATTGATATATCTGAATCTTTTTTTTTGCATTTCGAAAACCCTTTTCAAATATTTCCTGCAGTACAACTGTATAATGACCATATGTATATTTAGAAAGGATAATAATGAAGTAGCATAACACTACTACTAATGAGACTAACATAGTTGTCAACGGCTCAAACCAATTGGAAGGAAAATGGTAAATACCACCTTAAGTTAATATTTAGTATAGAAGCAATGTGTTTCTTTTATGTAAAAAGATGAGGGACATATAGTGAAAAATAACCAACCTTTAAAATATTGTTTGAAAAAAAGAAAAGTAATTGAATCTTGTTTGTTTGTTAAGAAATCTTTTATCTTTGTTGACTTGACCAACATCTGATATAGTATATACAAACGAGTAAGAACGCATGAATTGACTTGCATAGTTGCATATAAAGTAGTCCAAGGTGGTGCTGTTCCAGATCCAACGCCATCGATCAAAGCTTCTTCTCAACTCACCCACGTTCCTAGAGCTAAATTGATTGCTAATGCTCTCTCTCAACGTTGAAATTCACAAAAATAGCTTCCTTTCGTTACATTACATGACATACATAAATGTGATGTAACCATAACATTAATGTGTATCTTAGGATTGAAGATAATCATTTGAAAATGTGCAATAAGCCTATAATCTTCAACTGCAAGTCTTTCCTTTTGCACAATTCAGCTCTTATGTAGATCCTAGAGCTCCCTTTTAATGTTAGTCAAAACAAGGTGCTAGGACATTCATAGGAGGAAGGAATTGAATCTGTTTAAACATAAAGTCAGTGTTGTTTTTAGTTGGTCAATAGCTCTCCTCGGGACTTTAAAAATTCAGAATTGAGTATTTTACACATCAGTGCATCACACGACTACGCAACCACAAACTTTCAGCAAAACTTAAGCCGAACATCTTGGCCAATTCTGTTTCACTCAGTGTTCTCCCAACCATCCTCGCAGAGGATTGCAAATCATGAAGATGGGTGGAAGTAAGTGGAGCATCTTGGTGGCCATCTTCATCTTGCTTATTGCCATGGAAGCTGTCATTGCCCAAGGTCAAGGCAATGGCAATGACAATGACAACGACAATGGTAATGGTAATGGAAACGGTAAAGGAGTGATAAGAAAGAGAAGGATAAAGTAAAGAAGGAGAAAAAGCAAAAAGAGAAAAAGCCAAAGAAGCAACGTGATGAAGCCTCGGATTATGACAAGCTGTCAGCACTGCCATCAGGTCAAGAACATGGGTTCTGCAGAACAAACACCACCTGTGAGTTTAAGACTGTCCAACCGAGTGCGCAAAGAGGAAGCCCAAGAAGAACAAGAAGTCGAAGGAATGTTTCATTGACTGTAGCACTAGCAAATGTGAAGCCACCTGCAAGTGTAAGTTCCAAGGAACCTCAACTTTTGTTTAAAAGGTGTACATCTACAACTTGTAATATATAAAAGAGCAAATAGTTCAAGTTGAATTTGTTTGTTTGACAGTAAGGAAAGCTAACTGTGATGGGTATGGATCTCTGTGTTATGATCCTCGTTTTGTGGGTGGTGATGGTGTGATGTTCTACTTCCACGGTGCCAAAGGAGGAAACTTCGCCATTGTTTCTGATGATGAGTTCCAAATCAATGCTCACTTCATTGGTACTCGACCACAAGGAAGGACTCGTGACTACACATGGGTGCAAGCACTTGTTGTCATGTTTGATTCACACACTCTTGTGATTGCAGCCAATAGAGTGTCTCATTGGGATGACACCAATAATTCTCTCACAATAAAGTGGGATGGAGAACTAGTCAATGTTCCCATTGATGGAGAAGCTGAATGGAGGGCCAATGGAGATGATAGAGAAGTGGTTGTGGAGAGAACCGATGAGACCAACACTGTGAGAGTGATGGTTTCGGGTTTGGTTGAGATGGACATTGATGTGAAACCCATTGGAGAGCAAGAAAACAAGGTTCACAATTACCAGTTGCCACAAGATGATGCTTTTGCCCATTTGGAGACACAGTTCAGGTTTAAGAAAAGTACAGATCATTCTGAAGGAGTTTTGGGTCAGACTTACAGACCAGGGTATGTTAGCCCTGTCAAGAGAGGGGTTCCTATGCCAATGATGGGTGGGGAGAACAAGTACGAGACTCCCTCTCTCTTTTCAACATCACGCAAACGATGCATGTTCCAGAGGCCATCTGAAATAGCAAACACAAAAGGATTAGTTGCTAAGTATTGATATCATGCTTCATGAAACAGTATAAGATTTTCTTAGTAACCAAATATTTAACATCTTGCATTTGGTTTCTTTCTATTGTATTCAAAAAATAAGGGCCTGAACTGTTGCCCATGATATCATTAAATTATACTGATTAATGAGTATTACAGATATGAAGAAGTGACTATTCCCTGATGAAGTTTTTTGCCAGTGTAGAATTTTAAAAAAACTGTGGCAACAAACTATTTCAAATTCACATTGTGTTTCTTCCCCTTGATTTAAATTTGTCTTTAAGTGAATCTAACGTGGAGGGTATATTTTTCAATCGTGATCAATAAGTAGTGAAATGTCTTAAATGAAATAGACAATTTTTGTTCACTTTTTTTTGGATTAGATGGATGAATTAACTATATTTGTATTTGCAAATGAAGTGTTATTGGTAAATGTAACTACTTTTTTATCAATGATTTTATATATAACCTTGATTTGAGGAGTTAGAGTTATAAGCAAGCTCCCATGTCGTAATAAAATGTTTCGGCAAACTATTTTGCAGGTTTTATTTAACATAGATACAGGTGGATCATGTTCTTAACTTTCAATATATTATTTAGACTACCTTGTACCAAGTGTAGGTTTAATTCTTAGTTAACACGGTCCTAGAAAGCCTTAAGTCTCCACCTTTAAGGTTGAGCTAGAATCTAGATTAAGACACACAATAAAGTTGATAAGGCAAACCTTTCAGGTTGTTCTAGATGTGAAAGTGTTAAGCTGTTTTGCTTTAACATCGTAATTCTTATGTTACTATCATACAATAGTTGGATGCATGTATCTATGCAAATGTTACTTGAGAGGTGCACGGTGACTCTGTATACAGGTTGAGTACTTACATCAAATAAAACTGATTTGGCCTAAACATTTGTCTTTGGGCCATTCTGCTTATTCTGATATTTATAGAAGATCTACAATTGAATTGAAGCCTCATTAAAATAAGAAATGTGTGGTAAAAGGCTTTTTGATTTGCTTTAATGGGTTATTAGTTGCAAAATAAAGCATAAAAGAACTCAAAAGTAGGGATGACAAAACGGGCTAATTTGATCCATTTAACTAATTAAAAATGGGTTGGAATTTAGAATCTAGCTTGCTGAGCTCAATCAATTTTCAATCATGTTAAAAAGTGGAGTTTAAGTCCAACTCAAACCCTCGAAACCAACCTGTAAGGTGAGGTATGCTCCCACTTATATACTCTAAATTGATCTTATCTTCAGTTGATGTAGAACTTCCAACATTTAATATTGAACTACTTCAAGCCCATGGCTAACTGGAAACTTGGGTATATGTCCATTGATGTCTTTCTGCAAAGTGAAACCTTTTTGTATTGCCACACAACCTATTATTTGGCTTAAATTAGCCTAATTCTTTTTCCCGCCTCCTTTCATGACCCAAAACGTTTATAACTAGTGAGTGCTCAAACTCAAACATTGAAACATGACCTGATATACACCTAAATACATCTAACAAATTGGAGATTTTAATTATTGAATTTGAGACAGTTTTTCATGATTTATTTTTCTTTGGATTACATTAGAAACATGGAAAATATTGTAGCAACCTCCGTCAAGTTTACATAAATAATATATTGAAACAAGCATAGCATATCTCATAATAAAATCAGAGGGATACAACAATCTCTGATAAATTCACCACCAATAGTACTCAACACTCACTCCTTTCACGCACGAAATCATAGCACTCTTGAATATAACTGAATGGTATATAATGGATTATAGTCTATTCTGGTTTACGATGAGAAAACAGTCACGAGAACTACTCCAAGAACAAGGGACAGCCACTTTCCATACACATTGATTTTCACTGTGCCAGAGTTATCCTTTGAGGAATTAATCTGTGATGATTCTGAGGAGTCTGGGGACAGCGAATTCTCCTTATCTGCTTTAGGAGCCTTTGCAGATGGTTCTGGTGCCAAAGAGGGTGACTTTGCAGGTGCCTTGGCCACTGTAAAGAAGTCCATAGGAAGAAGCACCTTTCCCACCTTATAAATAGCAAGATGCTTATCTGTGTATACAATGCCAGTGATGGTGGTGTTGACCTCTCCTGTTGAGATGTTCACACTTCCTCCGTAACTTATCACATTCAGTTCCACCTTTCCAGGTTTAGCTCCTGCAAGTGTTCTCACAGGGTTGGTAAGAGTATCAAAGTTGGAGCTAGACACATACTCTGAAAGAACATGGAACTGTAAGAGCTCGAGCTTTTGGCCATCAGACAGAGAGTTGAGGAAGCCTGCTTTGAGTTCAGAGAAGGAACTGTCATCAGGTGCAAGAATGGTGATGCCACCTGATTTAGTAGTGAGGAGTTGTGCATTGAGTTGGTTGATCAATTGAGTGGTTTTCATGAGACGGATAAGGATGTTGAATGACTTAGCCTGCCTCAGGATTCCAACAATGTCAACAGCTGCTGCAGTATCAGGGGTTGCATCACTTGGTGACTCTGGCAACGAGGGAACCAATGGTTTAGGGGCTGCAGCTGGTGGTGTAGGGGTAGGTTGGGGTGGTTTTAGAGGGGAAGCAGCCGGTGATAACTGAGCTGAAGTGTTGGTGAAATACAAAAATGAAACTAGCAGTGCTAGTGAGAAGAAGAGAAATTGCTTTTGCATGGTCATTTTAGTTTTGGTGTATGAAGGCTCTGGTGCTTTTGGAAAACAACAGATGCAGGATTTGTATCACCAACGAGCTCTTGATGCATTGATGATACGGAAGAGATGGCTTTTATAGAGCATATATGGCAATGTGAGACAATGATAGTTAGGTGAAAGGCTTTGTTTTAAAACCTTATATTGTGATTTCTGAACATACACACAGTTGCTAGCTGGTAAGGATATTGAGGCGTTGCATCAATGATGATAAATGGATGAAATCATGGAGCAGTGTTGTTTTTATGATCGAAGGCCACACCAATCTCCAATCACAATCAATTGATTTTGTGAATTGTTGTCTTTTGCCGAAACCATTTTAATCAAGCACTACCTTTTTTCAGCAGTGAAGATAGGTGAAGGAAAGAATTGTTGATCTATCATCATGAGCAGGCAAAACAATTTCCATAACCAATTCCCATTGATTATACGAACCATACACATGGGTCTGATATGTTAGGGAAATTACATTCTTTTTTCTTCAGTCAAATGGATATTGCACTCCTAAAACCAAACATTTATACATAATGACGTAGTACTTTGGTTGCAATTCGTTTTGGGCAAGGATGATGAACATGGGAAGGCTTATCAATATCATAGACATGAAATTATTTTAATTCACAAAACAATGTGTAGTTTTTGAGAAGCCTTTCTTTCTGTATGTGTTGAAAGGGTTTTCCCCAACAAAGTGGTGTACGGAGAGCACACATGTGAGCTCTGCTAGGGTTCCATCACCCCCAATAACGATCCTTGGCACAGGCTCTCTCTGTTTCATGTGACTTCCCCTTAAGTCAGTTACTCAAGCCTTTCATCAAATGCAATTATGTCTCCATAAAGATTACGAGAAAAGAATACAGGAAAGGGCTTCTCAATTGCAAGAACAATTTTCATGGAAGTTTAATCTTAGCCAAAGGAACCCAGAACCTCCAACCAGCTCTCCATCGTTTGTGCCGATGGGGCAAGGATTTCAGCCCGAACAGGCTGCTTTTGACACATGCTAAAATTCAACCTTCCACAAGTGTATTGGAGGCCATAAATTTTGTTCGGGATTGCAGCTGGGGTGGGTGCACCCATCACGCTTGATGCCTCTACCAAAAACAGATTTATTGGTTATTCTGCTAGGATCCTCATTTATATTGATCTAGCAAGCAATCTTCAAGGTGAGATTATGGTCTAACGCGATGACTTTTGATTGACATGGCAGATGAGGATGAGATCTCAGATCATGCCAACCAAGGACAGCTTGCGGATCGAGATCCAGATTTCACCGTGGTCATCTCCAAATTTGGAAGGTAAAAACTTAAGAAAGCTGCACATTAAAATTCTGGTAGATGCACTAACAAAAAAAATCCTCCCAGGAAGTTTCAAAAAATACTTCCTCATGAAGTCAATTTTCTGGAGTATTAGAGGAATAGGAAATCCTGCCTCTAGGACAGCCCTTAGTTTTGTGAATCACAAACTAGATTTCGTAATAATTGCTGAACCTTGGGTTGAACCATTAAAGACTCATGTAGCCTTTTGGAATAGTATATCTTTGAAACTCTTTGTTGTTAACAATAGGAAGACTGCCCCTCCAAAAACCTTTGGTGCCTTTGTGCAGTCACATCTCGCCTTCTACCCTATCTGTCCCACATCAAGACGTAACCTTCTCCTTAAATTTGAATGATCAAAACATTTTTTTAACTGCCTATACCTGTACATGTCACATTCATAGGCACAACCTTTGGGAGGAACTTAAGCTTTAATAGAATCATGCTGGCCCTTGGAGTTTAATAGGTGATTTTAACTGTGTCTTGGGTGCTCATGAAAAGAAAGGAAGTTGTCTCCCTTAGCGGTAATCTTGTGATGATTCCATTTCTTGGACTAACGGTTGTAACTTGGTCCACATCCCTTCTAAAGGGTCTCAATTTACTTGGATGAATGAAAGGAGAGGAAAACATAGAACTCACTGGAGACTTGACCAGATAATCTAAAATGGTGATGGTCTTCACTTTTGTGACTATGTTTATTGCAATACGCTTTGTAGAAGTCAATTTGATCACCATCCGCTTCCCAACCCTTGCTTTTTACATTGACAAATGTAATTCTATTGCGATAGTGCAATCTTCCTTTTCATCAGCTTTCCCTCTTTTAATTGAAGAAAGGGTTTTTGGAAGGGAGTCTAGTAATGTTCTAGTTTTGTTGCAGAGGTTTACTACTAACGAAGAACATGGTGAGTGCTGATATCCTCAATATTCATGATAAAGTTTCCCGAAGCAATTGTTGACATGCCAGTAATTTGGTTTCTAACTTAGTGACGTGCATAGACAAATAAAGGCCAAACATTCGTAAATGGAACTTGATTATATGTACTGCATATATGATTTATTTTGCTTTAGGGAAACTTTCCATTGCAAGTGAATTTATTTATCCAGCTTATCTTATCAGAAAATAGCCGTACTGTTAATTAAGAAAACAATTTCTTGTATGGCTTTTTAGAAACCTTCCTTCCAACTTTCAAGTAGAACATAGCAGTGTCACACATCATGCATAAGCGAGACTTTCCTTCTATATTAAATAAATATACACTGCTTTCCCGGTTTACTACCAGAATAGCATTTTACATTGGCTTATCAGGGATCATCTTCAATAAAGAGTACAAGACACTTGGAGTGCAGAGTTCTTTTCAGCTGAGTCCAAGTTAGGAAGTAGGAAGGTTTTAAGCGAAAATGTCTATGCACAAGAAGCTTCAACAGCTAAACTCTTTGCTACTCCTTTACACGGATCTCCAAATGTATTAAGTGATAATCCAATGCTACAACTATTTGATCCAATGCAGGCTTGTTAATTAATATTCGTAAGAGTCAGTATAATCCAAATGAACAAAAGTCAAATTAACTACACAAAAAGCTTATATGAAATTTTAAAGAGGACACAGGACAACACCTTCTGAACAATGGATAGAGCCTTATTACTTCTGCACCGTCCATGTTTGAAATTTCCACAAGTCCCATAAGGCGTTCCAAAACTTGCAAATTCAATGGAAGAGATCAACTGATTAGGATAAGGGCACTCCAGTGACAGTACAGGCCCTACTTTTGTTTCTGAATTCCACAAGTCTACAGGTGGAGGGTGAGATTCAGATACATGTGAACACACGCTTCCTATCTGTTTTGTAGCAAAAGAGATTTGCGTAGGGTCACCTCCACTTTCCTCAAACAATACAAGTGTGTTGGTATCTGGATGTAACCATGATCGTGGTACATGGTATCTGCAGGATTAGTTGCTCAATTAGTATTTAACAGGATTGCCTTCAGTTCCTTCAAAGAATTCAGGATGAATTTCAAGTTTCAACTTCTCTAATACAAAATATCTAACTACTTACAACGTCTGTGATGGTTTCCCACAGTTCTTGAGACATTTGGATGAACTATAGGCCCCTCTATAATTGCAAGAGTCAGCACAACCGCCATTTGGAGAGACAAATGTAGGCCAGTATCGCCCAATGCTCTGTCCGTTCACCCAAGCTTCACCTTTTCCCATCCCCGTGAAGTCAATAGCAACCGGATCACTTCCCGAGGGAGCAACAAAGTTTGTCTAATACAACATGTATTACCATTAGTTAGCAGTAAAATCATTTGTCTTATATCATTCCCTTAATTTTCTTTAAAGTATGTGACTGTGAAGATATCAGATGCAAACATGGTTGAATAAACATGGCATTGGACAGTCCATAAACCAAGGAAGTCAAATAGGTGAAGTGATACTCTATCAGCTTATGCAGTTATAGCAGTTAGAGAATAATTTAGGAAAACTCGAAAATTTCAATAGATGCTATATTCATATAAGGATTACCTTGTACCAAGTCAAGGGTTGATTTATAGGTAAATCAGATTGTGAATTCCACTGTCCAGAACTTCCACTTGATGGACCTAAATCTTCATATTTAAGGCCAACCTGAATTTACAAAAATACAGATGGTGTATTCTGTCATTGCACGACTTCAGTAAAAAGAGGAAAGCAGAAGTCCAATTTACTATTTCAGTTGTATCTGTTCAGTTAATTGAGTAAACAAAACTCAAAATGGGAAAGAAAAGAACTAAGCTGAGACTAACCTGATATGTCCACTGTTGGGAGGAGAGATCAATAGTGCTTCCATTCTTCAAACCTTTCAATATCACGGGACCAGTTATCCCCGCACCCCATGTGTCAAAAAAGGCTCCGTAGTTCTGAAGCACGTAAGGTTTGCATTAGTTGATGGAGTAAGAGAACACGTTTGATGATGAAGGAAAGGATATGAGGAGGGATTAACAACCCAAAACATATATAAACCAAAATTGCCTCAGCCTTACATTCTTGTATACAACATAAGAAATAAAGACAAACCTGAAGTCCCACTGTTAAACTCAGAAGATCAATTATGTTCTTCCCAGCCACTAGTTGGATGGGGATGTCTACTGCGACCTTAGCTTTGTTACTGTTGCCAGTTCCACTCCCTGAAAAAGTTGTCCATAATGTCACAGATAAGTATTATTGGATAAATCACAGAATAATTTGCGATGTCGTGAAATAAAGGATTAATCACACAATATTCCGTTGAAATAAAGAAAAAAGTTGAACATTTTAGGAAGAAACAATGACGAACAATTGATGTCTACTCTGTTAACTTTGTATGTATTTCACTACATCCTAAAAGAGAATAAATTTTGGGATGATGTTACTTATCCATCAATTTATACAATGAAGAAGTCTACAAATTGCAGATAGACAAGGGACAATAAACCAAACATTGTCATTAGATGTCGTTGTTTTTAATTTTATTTTACCTGCAAGCTTCCCATTTATGAAAGCATGTAGGGCGTGACCAAGGGACTCAATGTGAAGGACAGTTTGAGAACCAGCATCATCTTCCATATCAATTCTGCAGAAAAATATTGAAGTGTTATGCGGCATAGTGAAATTCCGAAGAAAAACTCCTCAGCCTTGAAGGCATACTGTATACCTTAACGAGTACCACAAATAATCACTTTTATCAGCGGTTGTATTTATTTGCTCCAGTAATCCAAATTTGGAGAATGAATCATCCTTTGAAATACCGACGGGTTCACTAATCCAACTCCATCCTGAGCCAGAACCAACCTCTTCTTTTAAGGATTCAGTTCTGAAGCTTGAAATCATTGATGCAGAATTAATCTGCCATACCGTAATATAATTGTAGGTTATACTATTTCTTGGACTAGAAACTATCTAAAGTGTAGATAGATTGAGCATTCATTTTGAAAGTAACTTGATTCAATTTAACCATTAATTTTTATTGGGAAGTTGACGAGGCAAACCTTTGCAGTATTGAGCACTACATTCTTGCAGTCTGGTAAGATGCTCACAGACCATGCAGGCAAGTGATATGAATTTCCGTTAAAGGATACTGTTGCATCAGATGTGGCAATGTTGGCAAGGAAGGCTGCACATGCAGATCCCGTCTTGTAAACTGCAGCCTGGATTTTGAATAGTAACTGTTAAAGAAGGTAACTGAACAATTCATCTCATCTCACTCAACAGCGTAAGCCTTTGGAATAATTGGATTTAACTTATAAGGAGTTTGTGGCCTCTAAGACACCAACCATTCATGTTCCTTTCTCAACATTTATCCTTATGGGATGGTTCACAAACAGCAGATATTATGTACAGAAAAGAGACTAGACCTTTATAAAGCATATAAAACAACTATACCCATACAATAAAACATTAACACCATCAGACAATTTTCTACAATCAATAGAAGGTACCGGTCACGAAGTTTGAAAGGCGGCAGTAACCAGAGAAATCTATGACAAAGTGACAAAGATCCAGTGGATCTCCACACTATTCAAGGCATGTCTCTGGACAGAAAATTAAAATTTGAAAATATGAAACATTTAAGGCTTCAAAAGATAATCCAGAGATCCTGTCCACTTATCACCTCTATATTTGGTCCAGGAGTTGTAATTGTTGGATCAGTCGCTATCAGTGCTTCTTCACAAAGTTTTATGGCCTTATGCACATCTTTAAGGTGCCCCCACTTTGGCTGCCTAACAATTCCTGCATCATATAGTTCAGACATTTTAAAAACATATTTTCATTGTAAAACTGTTCGCTCATCTTCATGACTTCATATAGAATCAAACTTGACCAGTTTATATAATTCTATAGAATCGACAATTAATATGAGATACAAAGGTTTAAAGAATCCATACCATACTCATCAATTGGAGCATCATAATCATAACTAGTAGAAATGAAAGGTCCACCGGTAGTTCGGCCAAAATTAGTCCCTCCATGGTACTTTTTCCAAGCAAGGAACAGAAAAAGTAGAAAGCATTAGCTCTTTTCCTATCTTGAATAGCTTAAATCATTAAACAACATGCAATATTGTATCACCATGTAGTAATTCTGAAAAGTTCCACCTTGCTGGTAAAAGCGTGGCACAGCAAAAGCAAGATCTTCCACTGGTCTGTAAGGCACAGCACCACCAAACGAAAGAAACCTATAGTTTCACAGAATTCATAAGGTTACAACAAAAAAGAAAAGTAGAGTTGATTGAGAAAGTGCTACACAATCAATCAGATCATATTTTGAGTATGACATTCAAATAACTAAATGATTTATATAGCAAGGACACTAACCATCCACTCCAGTTCTCAGTCCACATTTTTGGTTTCGAGTTAGAGTTTGGTTTGAATTGATCGCAGTAAAATCCATTGCATGTGTTAATCTGAGTACAGTTGAGATTACAAATTATGGAGTAAACAATCAAGTAGGATAAGTGTAGACAACAACATAGTAAGATTGCTCTATTCAGGAATCAGGAAAATAGACAATGCAGTAAAATATGAATTATATAACAGTTTACGTTGATGGCTAAAAGGAGAAAACTTACAATTGGGTCAGGAGCATCTGCCTGTTGGCACATTACCCAAGGAACCCCTGTATCAAGAGATGTTGCCATTGATGCTGCCCATTTGATGTAGGATTTAGCAGCAGAACCATAGGCCGCATCAATGTTTCCATATTCATTTTCGACCTGGCATTACATACTAAGTATTACATAACTTTTTCATATTAAAAAGTATGCAGTAGGCCATTCAGAATTCGAGAATGTCTGTCTATACTACTCTTCCACCAGTGGATGCCGTGATTTCTTCTAAAAGAAAATAGACATGTATTTAATTAAGTTTAAGAAAAACCTGAGACAAAATAATTGGTCCTCCCTGTGATGCATAGAGGTTCTCTTGCTTCATCATATCCACGATCTTAGCAGTGAACCGCTGCATTTCTGCCTGAACACAATTCAATTTCGCGTGATAGAAGGAAGCAGATGCAGCAAGATGAGATATGGAGAAAAAAAGGGAATAATTACCTCGAATGGTTTGTTATCAGTTCGGAACTGAATTCCCGGAATAAAATGTAGCCAAAGAGGGAAACCACTGGTCAAGAAAGTTAAAGACCATGATCAGATATGAACTTCCTTGTGAAAAAATACATATAAAGATCATATTTTACCCGTAGTTCCATTCAGCACATGCGTATGGACCAATCCGGAGATGCACATATAGGCCTGCTGCNTACTACTCTTCCACCAGTGGATGCCGTGATTTCTTCTAAAAGAAAATAGACATGTATTTAATTAAGTTTAAGAAAAACCTGAGACAAAATAATTGGTCCTCCCTGTGATGCATAGAGGTTCTCTTGCTTCATCATATCCACGATCTTAGCAGTGAACCGCTGCATTTCTGCCTGAACACAATTCAATTTCGCGTGATAGAAGGAAGCAGATGCAGCAAGATGAGATATGGAGAAAAAAAGGGAATAATTACCTCGAATGGTTTGTTATCAGTTCGGAACTGAATTCCCGGAATAAAATGTAGCCAAAGAGGGAAACCACTGGTCAAGAAAGTTAAAGACCATGATCAGATATGAACTTCCTTGTGAAAAAATACATATAAAGATCATATTTTACCCGTAGTTCCATTCAGCACATGCGTATGGACCAATCCGGAGATGCACATATAGGCCTGCTGCTGCTACTGTCTTCACAA